TTCACAAGTGCTACAAGGAGTTGGGTCAGATGGTGATTCCGATTTTCTACGGCGACGTTGATCCTCCTCATGTCAGGAACCAGACCGGAGAGTTTGGCAAGGCCTTTGAAGAGACATGCAAGGGCAAAACCGAGGATGAGAAACAATGGTGGATCCAAGCTCTCGCAGAGGTAGCAAATATTGCTGGAGAGGATTCTGGGAACTGGTACCTTGTTTCTGATTCCCTTATTTGTGCTTTTTGTTGCATAGACTCCAAACTGTTTGATTTAAGGGATATTTCTTTTGTTATATTAGGTGTGATGAAGCAAACATGATTGAGAAAATAGCCGACGATGTTTCGAATAAGCTTATTACTCCATTCGATGATTTTGGTGATTTGGTGGGGATTAAAGCTCATCTAGAGAGATTAGACTCATTGTTGTGTTTGGAGTCTGAGGAAGTGAGAATGGTTGGGATTGTGGGACCTTCAGGGATAGGTAAGAGTACCATAGCTAGAGCTCTTTTCAGTCGACTCTCTACCCAATTCCACCATCGGGCTTTCGGAATTTATAGAAGAACTAATCTGGACGATTATGGCATGAAGTTGTGTTGGGAAGAACAGTTTCTAGGAGAACTGCTATGTCAAAAGGACATAAGGATTTGCCGTTTAGGTGTGGTGGAACAAAGGCTAAAGCACAAGAAAGTTCTTATCGTTCTTGATGATGTCGATGATCTAGAGCTACTTAAGACTTTGGTGGGACAAATTGGATGGTTTGGATTCGGGAGCAGAATTATTGTGATTACGAAACATAGGCAACTTCTCAAGTCTCATAAGATCGACCTTATTTATGAGGTGGAGTTACCATCTGAAGATTTGGCTCTTCAAATGTTTTGTCGATCGGCTTTTGGACAAAACTATCCACCTTATGGTTTCATCAACCTCGCAGTTGAAGTCGTAAGCCTTGCCGGTAATCTTCCTTTGGCTCTCAACGTCTTGGGTTCTTCTTTAAAAGGAAAGGACGAGGAGGAGTGGATGGAGATGCTTCCTAGGCTCCGAAATGAACTGGATGGGAAAATTGAGAAAACATTAAGAGTCAGCTACGATGAGTTAGATTGCAAAATTCAACAAGTATTCCTCTATATCGCTTGTTTATTCAATGGTGAGAAAGTCGATGACATCAAAAACTTTCTCGGAAATAGTGTTAATATCGATCTTAGAATCCTGGTTGATAAGTCCCTCATTAGTATAGTACCACCACTGAGTATTGTGGATATGCACGGTTTGCTAGAGAAGTTGGGTAGAGAAATTGTTCGTGCAGAGGCCATATACAATCCTGGAAAACGTCGCTTTTTGGTGGATGCTGAAGATATTTATGATGTATTTACCGACAGTACTGTAAGTTTCTTGCGTGTACATTCAATAATAATTTAAGCATGTCATTTGGTATTTGATGTTGTGATTGCTAAAATAATAATTTTCTTGGGATTTTTGTTCTTCAGGGTACAGAAACTATGCTAGGGATATATCTTAATACATTAGAAATCAACAAGCCGTTGTTCATAAATGAAAAATCATTTGATGGGATGCGTAATCTCCAGTTTTTAAAAATTTACAAAAATAAGTCGCGGAAGGAGATGACTGGTGAAGGGAGAGTGTTTTTACCTCAAGGTCTTGTTTATTTGCCCCGTAAACTCAAATTGCTATATTGGGAGAACTATCCATCGAAAAGTTTGCCTTGTAACTTTAGAGTGGAGTCTCTGGTTGAACTCTCAATGGAGAATAGTGAGCTTGAAAAGCTGTGGGAAGGATCTCAGGTATACTTTTAAAGTTGTATATTTCTTAGTCTACAATGGTGTTACTAATTAGTGTGTTATGTTTTCTCCTTTTTTGTTTTCAGCAACTTCATAGTCTCAAGAAGATGAATTTGTATGGGTCCAAATATTTGAAAGAAATTCCAGATCTTTCTAACGCCATAAATCTCGAGGAAATACATGTTCAACTTACATCTTTGATGACACTGCCTTCTTCAATTCGGAATCTCAAGAAACTAAGGGAGTTATGGATGGGTGGATGTAGAAAGCTTGAATCTCTTCCTACTAATATCAACTTGGAATCTCTCGATTACCTTGATCTCAGNGAATGCCCAAGGTTGAAAAGTTTTCCTCGGATTTCAACGAACATTTCAAGGCTCCGTCTAGATGAAGGAACTGCTATAGAAAAAGAAGACGTTTGTTTCTGGATTGAGAACCTCACAGGTCTCACTATGCTCTATTGGACGGAGTGCCCGTTGAGATGTATGCCTCCTAACTTTAACCCAGAATATCTCGTTCACCTCTATATGAAAGATAGCAAGCTTGAGAAGCTATGGGAAGGAGTCCAGGTGACGTTCTTCTAAACCTCATTATTTAATGTTTCATAATAATTCCGCATCCAAAAGAATGAGACCTTTCTTGGTCATTCTTCTTCTTGTTGTAGAATTTTCTGGTTGGCTAGAGTAGTCAAAATCCCTGCCCTGGTGATTGAATCATAATAACGTTTTTTCTCTGTTTCAGTCACTTGGAAATATCGAGGAGATGAACTTATCAGGATGTGAAAACCGGAAAGAAATTCCAGATCTTTCAACGGCCACCAATCTCAGGAGATTGCATCTCAAGGATTGCAAAAGTTTGGTGATGCTTACTTCTTCAGTTCAAAACCTCAATAAACTGAATCGACTGGAGGTTCTTCCAACCAACGTCAGCCTGATATCTCTTAAGGACTTCAATCTCAGTGGATGCTCAAGGTTGAGGAACTTTCCACACATTTCAACCAGCATTTCAAGGCTATACCTAGATGGCACTGGAATGGAAGAAGTTCCTTCTTGGATTGAGCATTTTCTTGGACTCGCTACATTATCGATGAGAGGATGCAAGAGGTTAGAAAACATCTCACCAAGCATTTTTAAATTGAAACGTCTTGAAGTGGCAGACTTTTCAGACTGTGGAAAAGTTACGACATTCCGTGATGCAAGTGTGGTAACAATGGTACTACCTACCACTGGTGATCAATTACCAGTGCCTGAGGAAGCTTCCTTTCCTCTTACGGATTTATATGGAAATAANTGTGAATCTCTCCAGGATTTTGATCACTCCTCTTACAATCCACGGGCTCTTCTTAAATTCTACAATTGCGTCAATTTGGACCAAGAAGCACAAGGACTTATTCTACCATCAGACTTCTACAATGCGATCTTACCAGGTGGGGAAGTGCCTATGTATTTCACGCATCGATCTTGTGGAAATTCTCTTACTTTCCCTATAGCTCAGAGCTCTCTCTCACAAGGATCTTTGAGATTTAAGGCTTGCATCGTGCTGGAACCTTTGACAGACAACAAAAACTGTCCTTTAGTCATCTGGGTAAATTGGTACTTCGGAGGCATAAATGGTAAGGAACGCGTTGACGTGGAATCATGTGAGATGGATCATCTAGTTATGCTCCACTTTTCCATCTCTTCAGATTATTTCAATGATGCTCAACCTGAACTCGACTACAGCAACATTGAATTTGAGTTTGATACCGGTACTTTTTCCGGCATCTATGGCTCTCACCGCTACGGCCCACAAACATTTCCATGTTCGGTACAAAGGATAAAAGGATGCGGTATACGAACCTTGAACGCCTCTCTGTCTTCGGATGGTATTGGAAGATGCTTTGCAACAGGTACAAAGAAAGCGATGTAGAGAGTGGGAGAAGCTTGGAAACTGTTTACAACCAACAGTGTGCAGAGGGTGGGAGAAGCAAGAAGCGGATGTGGGTTTGTCTGTGTTGAGTGGTGGAGTCAAATCTCTTAGGCTCGCTGTTTCTTGTTTGAGCCGACGACCGAATAGCATGCTGATCAACTTCTTCAGGGATTAGGGGCGGAGCTACATACAAGATATTGGAATATAGATCTATAATCGTCTGCCAGGGGGCAGAAGGGTCAAAAGTTGTGACCACCACAAGGAAGTAACCGTTCAGGTGACAAGAGAAGAGAGCCTTTGACATGCCATGGAAAGAAAGAGCTTTGAAACTTTCTGCTAGAGACAATGCCTGGTCCAATTCCAAACCATGAAGTATGATCCAAAGCTCCTACATGTATGAGAAAATGCGTCGCTGCTCTTCTGGGGGAAGCTGAGAAGTAGCTTCTTCATGTGAATCTAATGCTGCGCTCGGCCTGAAGCTGGCGCTGTTAAGGTGCATTTATGGTGTAGTAGTTTTGGCTCTTGTACTTCTTTGAGAGTTTAATTTAAAACTAAAGATTTTTTTCTAACTTTACTAGGGGATATAACCCAGAAGAAAGATGGTCCTTGCTCAGGAACCAAAGGCTTCCGAGTTACTATGAATCATACAAAATCTTGTACCTTGAGCCTAAAGATGCAGAACTGAGGTATTAGAACATATAAGATGGGAAAGCCAATTCATGTTCTTGTCTTCTTACAACGCCCTCTTGTTTCCCAGGGACATTGCTCAACGACGAGGCAATTATGGGAAGTGGCCAAGCTGCATAATCGTGAATCATCTTTCCCTGAGGTAATAAACTATCTTATTACTCTTCTAGATTCTCTTATCATCTATTGGTGCATTTGTATGGCATTAGATCGCTAATACACATGCTCTGTTCTTCTTTACCGCCAGCATTTGGATTCAAATATCAAATAAGAGGGTTTTGATATTTGAATACAAATCCAGTAGCATCAGTTGTAAATCCGAAAACAAGGACTAACCCTAAAGTGGCGCAGATGTGTATGTGCTCTTTTCTATCTCTGTTTATTTGTTCTTCAGAATTGGATGTTTATTTGCTGAAAGATTGGAGAACAAAGGACAAACTAGTGAACAATTTGTGTCTCTTAAACCCTAATTACGATAGAGAATGTGTATCCCAATTAAGTCAAATAAACAGTTTGAAAAACATATACTGAGAGACCTTTTAGATCTTTTTACAAGTGATTTGTTTGAAAGACAAAACATAGAGAAAGAAAAACCAATACTTGTTTTTGCTTTCTTATTTTTTTACAAAATAAAGTAGAAACAACATAATTGGGAGGTTTTCACCTCGGTCGAGGATTGTTGATTTCGCCGCGACAAGATGGACATGAATGCTTGCGGCGTAGCCACGAGTAAATACAATCACTATGAAAATTATGGCCACAACGCAACTTCAAGA